AGAGAAAGCACCCTCCAGAAGGGATGACCATGCCACAGTCCCTTCTTCTCTATCCTCCTCTCAGGATTTTGGGCATGCATTCACATGTGCCTGGCATGTTGTTCCTGCTGCTGGGTCTGGGAATTGAACTGTACAGCTGGCCATATGGGACCAGTTGCTCTAACCACCACACCACTAGCTAGTCTGAATGCTATTACAATTTATAATTTTAGTACTCATAGATACAAATTATATGTAATAGAATTTATGATCTAAATGAAATGACTAAAGAGCAAATGCATTCTTAAAGGATTTTTTTAACTTTGAGGATACTAGTACATGCACAAAATTCTACAAATACTGGAATTATGATATAATCCAATATGTATTCTGCTTTGTATTTAAATGGTTATAAACATTATTGGCAAAAAAGTATATAATGTTCTTCCTAAAATTGTCTGGCTAATACAATCTGCTAACCCGCTTCTATTGACTTTCAGTCTGTTTCCTTTGACTATTTGTAAGTTCTGGGTAATTGTTTTTGTTTTTAAAATGAATAGAGTGTATGTCATTATTACCTATTGCAGCATTTGACTCAGAAATTAATATTCATTGATACGTAAACTGATATATAGCACAGTAAAATATAGAGCATATGAAGAGTTTTTTTACTCTAATGTAATCTAAACTAATTAGGAATATTTCAGAGGAACTATTACAATATTAAAACCAAATCAGAGTAGTATAAGCTTGTTCATATTTGTGATGCTATGATTAGTGATAATGCACAATCAAAGCTCATGATCATGTGCTTGTTAGCCTTTCCAAAGGCCAAAGCAGGACAATGGATTTTTAACTTAACATTAAGCCTGAAGCCAACCTTGACTTTAGCCCTAATTCTTTCAGTGCTACTTTTGAATCATGGTGTTAATTTATTTCACATGACAGCCCAGAACCTGTTCTTTTAAAATTATACAGTCTTCCTTCTTGTTTCAGTTATATGGCGCTACTTTCATGAGACCCTCCTGCAGAGGTATGCAGAAGAAAGAAATGGCATTAACGTCGTCAGTGGGCCTGTGTTTGACTCTGATTATGATGGATGTTATGATTCCTCAGAGACCCTGAAGCAGTAAGAACATATTTCACTATTTTTTTTTTTCTAATTTGCCATAAGGTGCGTGCATTTGCAGGAGAGAGACAGAGAGAGAGAAGCGGAAGTGAGAACGCAACCCCCAGGGCGCATGGCCATGCTGCAAGCCTCTGGCCTCTTTTCTCTTCCTGGGACTCTGAGCATGTACACACACACATCCTGCTTGTTTCTTAAGCTGCTGGGTCCAGGACTTGAACTGCACATTTGACCTTGTGGGATCCAGATGCTTAAACCACCATGCCACCCACTGATCCTGTGTCTCAGTTTTATCAAAAGTAGCTATCAAGTGGCATTGCCATTGAGTTGAGTCAGCAGAACCTTCCTTCTCTGGTACTGTTTTTTTAGCAGTCGTAATCAAGTACGTGCACATGCATGAGAGAGAGAGAGAGAGAGAGAGAGAGAGAGAGAGAGAGAGAGAGAGAGAGAAGTATCTTCCACAGGGTCTGGGCATTCCATGGTCCTCTCCAATCAGTCCTTTAGCCTGTGGAAGCTTGGGCACTCAGATGTGTGCCCAGCATGTTTGAGGCTAACCAGGCTGCGGATGTTAACTGCAGCTGCCATGTGGGATCCTGCTTCTCTCCAGGAGCACATCAGCAGTGTGCCACAGGGCCAGTTTTCCTCTCTGGTACTATTATTTATGTTCATGTACGTGACCTTTCTGACTGTGCTGGAAGCCTCTTGAAATATCTGATTACTTTCGATGTTTTACTTAGCGTTCAGTAAAATGCACTTTAGGGAAAAGCCTGTGTTTCTCTCCCATTCAGTTCAGCTCAGTATTCTTGAGTTCAGTTTACATGCTGACTTGTGTTTAAGGTCTCTGCATGGCTGATAGTCAAGATGCTATCTTAGTTTCTATAGTTGCTATGCTGTCACTCAGCAGATGGAGAACTATGCCGTGTGGTTATAGATAGGCTGGGAGCCTTGGATGAACAACACAGCTGCTACCCAGCTATGGCTTGAGAGGAGTGGTGGTGAGACCACCATGAGGAAAGCTTCAGTGGTGGGGTTTTTATGTAAGGGGAGGGGAAAAGCATTTTAGAAACTGGTTGATCTTTATTAAACTAAACATATTTTTGGAAGCAATGCTGCTGTTAAGGCTATAAGAAAAACACTAAAGACTTCTGTGATTCATCCCATCTCTGAGAACTTTTCTACTATCCTAGGCTGATTTAGGGGTGATTGGGCATGTGCACATATGCTTGAGCACATCAGTTTGTGAAAACTGCAATCTTTTACTATATCCCTTGAGACATAAAGGTCTCCTGTAGCTGCCTCAGAGGCCACGGGGTAGCATGGGAAAAGAAGAAAACTCCAAATGCTCTCCACTTAGCTCCCATCAAAGCTTTCTGTTTAATATGGTTTATGTAATAGGATTTCACATAGGATTTTTTTAAGGTAAGGGTTTTTATTTTTTTTATTTTTTTTTTGTTATAGAGCATGTGCACTTGCCAGAGAGAGAGAGAAAGTGACAAGTAACTCCCTACGGGGTAGCATGGGAAAAGAAGAAAACTCCAAATGCTCTCCACTTAGCTCCCATCAAAGCTTTCTGTTTAATATGGTTTATGTAATAGGATTTCACATAGGATTTTTTTAAGGTAAGGGTTTTTATTTTTTTTATTTTTTTTTTGTTATAGAGCATGTGCACTTGCCAGAGAGAGAGAGAAAGTGACAAGTGACTCCCTACCCCCTCCAGGGAGAATGACCATGCCACAATCCCTTCTCCTCCATTCTCTTCTTGGGATTTTGGGCATGCACGCACGTGCATGCATGCGACTCAAACTGCAGTTGGTCATGTGGGCGTCTAATGGCTTAACCACTGTGAAACCTGCTGGCCTCTTACATGAAATCTTATTTGAAAACCATAATCCCACTACATTAACTTTTAGAAGATGCTAAAGAAATAAAAGAACCCTCACATCTTTAAAACCCAAAGAAAAAGGATCATTACAATGAGGGAATGGTGTTACTCAGGATATCTTTGATAATATGTATTGAGATTAAAACATAAAGTTATTGTGTGAGGCAAAAAAAAAAAAAGTTAAAACAAAGGAGAAGTTACAAGTCATTCCTAAAGGTCCTAAAGGTACTGAAATAAAAATATCCATAACCAATTTTCTATCCACTATTTGTCCAAAACTGCAATCAGATTAAAAAAGACTTATCAATAATACTTTAGGATCTTGGTTGTAGGCGTTCAGAAATGGTATTTTCTTTTCTTTAGTGTCTAAATTTCAATGTCTTTGGGTAAAACTAAAAAATATCTGAATTTTAGCAAACTGAATAGAAAATGAAAATTACGTGGATTATGTTTATTATCTAATTATTACTCTCAATTTGTCAGAAAATGTTGAAGCATTATGATTGCCTATTTCTTATATTTATTTGGCTGAGTTTGATTTTTAGATACATTACATCAAAAATATGCCACGCTGGGCCAGCAGGTGGCATGGTGGTTAAGGCGCTGGAATTCCCACATGGCTGACCACAGTTCAAGTCGTGGACCTGGCGGCTTGCTTTCTCACTGTCTTTCTCTCTCTCTCTCTCTCTGTGTGTGTCTTTCTTTGTCAAAACTCATGTAAAAATATCATAAATTAATTAACAAATAAGTAATTCTTTAAAAGAAGAAATATGCTTTACTGAAACATTCATTAAGAGCAAGATATGTTTTTCTTAACGTGAATATTTACATATGTCACAGAAACATCAGAGTCATCCGAAATCAAGAAATTCTAATTCCAACTCACTTCTTCATTGTGTTAACAAGTTGTAAAAACACATCCCAGACTCCATTGCAGTGTGAAAACTTGGACACTTCAGCTTTCATTTTGCCCCATAGGACTGATAATAGTGAGAGCTGTGTGGTAAGTGGCCTTTGTTAATGCACCTTACCTATCAAAATTCAACATATGTGTATTTGTGTGTGTGTGTCTTATGTCCAGTGGGAGAAAATTCAGTTCTTGAATTTATACAGAATTTGTAATTACAGGATGGTTCTAAATGTGATATTCTAAGATAACGTATCTTGGGAGAAGACTACCTCTCTCTGTTTAAAGACACCAAAATTCAGATCAAAATCAAACTTCATATGGCTTAGCCCCTAAATTCTACTTTCACTTGAATAGGAATTTTCCCATTTTAAAACTAGCCTTTTGAGTTCCAAAAATGTCAGCACCACTGTAAATGGTTCTTAAAGATGTTGTTAAACATTTCAAATTATTTTTGTATTTATCACTTTGTTATAAAAATCTTATCCTTTCCTATTCTGTTGTCATTCCAGTGTTTTATATTATTTTCTTAGAATTTAAAAAAATCTAAATCATAGATTTGAACATCAAGACTGCATACAATTTTTGCAGTTTTTAAAATTTTTTCCATATGGTGAGAAAAAAATTTTCTTCTGAAGTATTTCCCACTTTGCCCTGCTCTTTTTTTTAAAATTATCATTCTTATTTTTGGGGGGAGGGGGATTTTTGCTATAGGGCATGTGTGCTCACCAGAGAGACAGAAAGTGAGAAGTCAGACCCCAGGAAGAGAGGATGGCCACATCACAACCCTTTGTCCTCCATTCTCCTCAGGGTTTTGGGCACACACACACACGTGCCTGGCATGAGTTTCAAGCCTCCAGGTCCAAAACTCGAACCACGGTCAGCCATATGGAAGTCCAGTGCCTTAACCTCTATGCCACTTGCTGGCCTTTGTTGTTCTTTATTGAAGTTGCACATGGCAAGTCGAAGATGGCAAAAGATTTGCCTTTCAGACCAGTGCCAGTGAAAGGGTGGTGGGTACCTGGAGTTCTGCAGTCAGAAGGATCTTAAGGCCCAGTCTGAGGGTAACGTGAGGTGCTACATTCACTCATTCACTCGGTCAGCACTTCTTTGATCTCAGCACTTGTTCCTTTAGTAAATACTTGAAGCCAGGTGTTCTGTATACCAGGGATAGTAGTGAATAAAACAGTGTTCTCTGGTTTTGCCATGTCAAATCTAGTAGCCTTTCTATGTACCCTCATTAAAATTAACAAGTACATATCTCTCTTTAGTTGTTTGTATGATAAACTTTTAGAATTATGTGACAGTTTCTCATAGAACACATTTCTTTCTTTCTTCTTTTTTTTTTTTTTTTTTTTTTAAGAGAGATTTTTGCTAGAGGACATGTGCACTTGTCGGAGAGACAGAAAGTGAGAAATCACTCCCTGGGGGAATGGCCACACCGCAGTCCCTTCTCCTCCCTTCTCCTCTCAGGATCTTGGGCATGCTAAGCCACAAGGTCCGGGACTCAAACCACAGTCAACTACATGGGAGTCCAGCAATGTAACCATTATGCCATCTGCTGGTCCCACGTAGAACACATTTCTAATTAAGTTATTTTTTTCCCTTATTCTTCAGAACTTATTACAGAATAAAAGAACTTTAATATTTGGACTTTTTAATAAAGTTTATTTATTATATGTGTGGAGGGCATACAAAGAGAGATAGTCACCTCCCAAAAGGGTCCTCACACCACTATCAACCCCTTCTAAACTAGCCTGGATTACCAATGTGTGTGTGTATCTAGTATGCAGGTGGAGGCCTCAGGCCATGAACCTGGGACCTTCCCATGTGTGTTCAGCATTCCAGAGCATTGCATTACTACCTGACCTGTGAACTTTAACTAACTGGATGCTTAATGGGCATCTAACTCTGCTAAGAGGTCACTGTTGTGGATACTGTTTGATACATTCCCTTCTTTGTTACTTTCTTTTCCTTGAGAGATTATGTTGTTATTAAAAGTATCAGTTAAGAGTTGTTCTCTGTAGCAAACGACAGTTAAGTCCATTTTGGTGACCTAAGCAAGTAAAAGTTTCTCATGTAACAGGAAGTCCCATGGACACTGTTGGCTACATTCATTCCTTATTACTTTCTTTTCCTTGAGAGATTAAGTTGTTATTAAATGTATCAGTTAGAGTTGGCTCTGTAGCAAACATCTCATCCATTAGTGAGTAAGCAAGTAAAGGTTTCTCACTAGCAGAAGTCTAATGGTACAGTCGGGATGGTGCTTTGGGTCAACAGCATCATTAGTGACCCAGATCTTTTCTATTTTTCTGCTCCACCATTTTTAGCCTGTGGCTTTGACCCACAGCCATCTTAGCTAAAGATGGTTTTTGCTTCTCTAGATAAGTCTCAATTTTATGCTCCTCTATCCCAACCTGTTCCCCCTACCCCCAAAAAAGAAGGTAGCCACAGGCTTGAACTTACATTTTATTGACGAAAATGATATTAAGTCCCATGAGTTGAGGGTTAGGTTCCTTTTCCAACTCTACCATTGGTAAAACCTACCAGTGTTGTACCACTATCTTAAATGAAATCATTTAATCAAATTTTATATGGCAGTATATATAGAAGATGTAAAATATGAGACTTGGGGACCAACAGTTGGCATAATGGCTATGTCACTGGACTCCCATGTAGTTGACCGCGGTTTGAGTCCCAGACCTGGTGGCTTAAACTCAAGCTGGGTGCGTTTGCGTGCATGCCCAAGATCCTGAGAGGAGAATCGAGGAGAGGGGATTGTGGCGTGACCATCTCCCCCGGGGGGGTGGTGGTGACTGTTTGCTTTCTACCTCTCTGTCTCTCTCTGTCTTTTTGGCAAGCACACGTGCCCTATAGCAAAATCCTCTCCCAAAAAAATAAATAAATAAATAAAAAGGAAAAAACAAAAATAAAATATGAGACTTAAACCAGTGAAAGGATTATTTTCAGGTATATCACATGTTTTTTTAAAAAAGATGTTTTTCCTTAGGGCACGTGCACTTGCCAGAGAGAGGTAAAGTGAGAAATTACCTCCCAAGAGGGACAGCTATGCCACAATCCCTTCTCCTCCATTCTCCTCTTGGGATTTGGGGCATTCTTCTTTCAGGATTTTGGGAATACACGTGCACATGTCCAGTGTGATTTTTAAGCCACCAGGTTTGGGACTCAGACTGTGGTCAGCCATCTGAGTCTAGCACCTTGACCACCATCCCAACCACTGGTCCCCATATCACACATTTGTAATGATCCCTTTTGTTTACTCTCTGAATTAGTTGGGTATAGACTTCAGAGAACATATGCCCATGTGTACTGTTTTCTGTTCCTGTGGATGTTAAATAGGTGGCAGATATCTTACTGGTCAGGTCGTCCCCTCAGTCAGGGCTTCTGCCCTGAGAGCCAGAGTAAGGCTTGCTACGGGGAGGGAGACAGAGCACAGGGTAATGGGAGCCTGGAGGCAATTGGGAAAATGGAAGTAAAAAGTCTGTATTTATTATTTTCAATTATAGTGCTTCAAGGGTACATAAACTGTAATTGAAGAATGTTTCTAGAGCGTGATCATAGCCCACCAATGAGTAGATACTTTTTTTTTTGAGAGGTTTTTCACTAAAGGCATGTGTGCTCGCCAGACAGACAGAGAGAGACAGAGAGACAGAAAGCGAGATATCGCTCCTCAGAGGGGATGGCCACGCCGCAATCCCTTCTCCTCCATTTTCCTCTCGGGATCGTGGGCACGCACGCACACGCGCCCTGTGTGGGTTTTAAGCCACCGGGTCCGGGACGTGAACTGCGGTCGACTACGTGGGAGTCCAGTGACATAGCCATTACGCTAACTGCTGGTTCCCAGTAGATACTTTTTGTTTTAAAAGTTTTTGCCATAAAGCACATAGGCTTACCAGAGAGACACAGAGAGATAGTGAGAGAGGAGAGTGAGAAATTAACCTCCCCCCCCCCCCCCGAGGGGATGGTCACACCACAATCCTTTCTCCTCCATTATTTTCCTGGGATTTGGGGCACACGTGCACATGGAACCTGGCATGATTTGCAAGCCACCGGGTCCAGTACTCAAACCAGGAGAGATCATGTGGGAGTCCAGCACTTTAACCACATCACTATCTGCTGGCCCCATCCAAGGGATACTTTTTCATCTGACCTTCCCCAATAGCAATTTTCAGAAAAACCTCCGGTAACATACAGATTCACGATTTTCGTCCGTATTACCTGCCCGGCTACCACCTCTGCTTCCATTCGCCAACATTTCTGCCTTTATTCTGAGTTCCTATCATCCAAGACTTTACTCCTCACCAGAAACCCAATTGTGTTTACCACTTCTGCCAGCCCCATGCTTTTTTGCAACGAGGTACATAACTCATTCTCATAAGAACTAGTGTTTGTTTAGTGCATTTGTACATTCCATTATATTTGATCCTTGAAACAAGTACAGGTGTGGGGACCAGCAGTTAGCCTAATGGCTATGTCGCTGGATTCCCATGTAGTTGACCGCGGTTCGTGTCCCGGACCTGGTGGCTTAAAACTCATGCTGGGCGCGTGTGCATGCATGCCCAAGATCCCAAGAGGAGAATGGAGGAGAAGGGACTGCGATGTGGCCATCCCCCCTGGGGGGTGATTTCTTGCTTTCTGTCTCTCTGTCTCTCTCTGGCGAGTGCCACGCACCCTATAGCTAACAAAACCTCTCCAAAAAAAAAAAAAATGTACAGGTGTGGGACTCAAGATTTGAGTGTTGACTAACTTGCCCAGGTTTACCTTGTACAGCAGTAGTAGAACTAGGACTTGAATCGAAGTTTCTTCATGTCAATTCCTGTGTTGTTTCTACCAACTATTAAGACATGGTCTCTATTTTCCAATGTTTTTCTATCCCATACTTGTTGAAGTTTCTTGTACTTGTGTGACACATGACCATCTGTTTTAGGTATACCACCGCCCCACCCCCACCCCCAATTTGATACATCTAGTTAAACAAACATGTGTAATATGTATCAGAGGGTGAGCTACTCAAGAGTGGGGATTACGCCTAGCAACTCTTGTGGCATTTGTCATTTCTGAGCCAACATGTCATAACTGATTAACCTTGGGGGACGAAAGGCTTGTAGGGACAGGAAACAGTATTCTCTAGTGACTGTTCTTTTTTTCCCCGTTCTCATAGCGTGGGAAGCAGGAGTCCTCGTGGGTTGAAGACTTGGTAATGTTCCACAGAGCAAGGATCGCGGACGTTGAACACATCACTGGACTTAGTTTCTATCAAGAAAGAAAAGAGCCAGTTTCGGACATTTTAAAGTTAAAAACACACTTGCCAACTTTTAGCCGAGAAGACTGAGGTTTTTTTGTTTTTGTTTGTTTTTGTTTTTAATTTCCAAAAGCACACCACCAATCACTTGGAGGGAACTTTATCTTTTATACAATCCTCTACCCACACTATTGCATTTTTCGGAAACTTTGAACCAGAGTGAGGACTGGGAATCCTCTGTGATACGGACATCTCAGGGAAACTTGTGGACTCGGTGTGGCAGTGGGAGCGTTCCTGTTGAGTCGTGCACGTATTTGAATGTGTAAGATTTGTATGCATTCGTCAAGTTCTGAGGAATAAAGGCAGACCATACCTAGCACTGCTTTGCTACTTCTCTCAAGGGCAAAGGAGCTGTGAGCATTATCCGGATACCGGATATTCGAATCTTTTTATTGATACTAAACCTTTATGGAGTTGGCAAGCAATAGACCGACTAGTAGGACCAGGATAACCCTTGTTATATTACTACCTTTACAAGAACTTAAAAGTGGTTCTGGGTCCCTTTCAACTTGAAATTTCATTTTTATGTAGTTTAAATATATAGTTTTTTTTTTCTTGAAATTTCATTTTTATGTAGTTTAAATATGTAGTTTTTTAAAAACTATATGTTAAAAAAGTTCATGGAAGCCAATACATTTCTGAGACCCCCTTATTTACCTGTTTTATATATTCCCTCAGAAGCCAAAGTCTTACTACTGTGTTTTTTTTTCCATTGTGATTGGGTTTCTCCAGCGTTAATGGCACTAACTAGTTAAATGTTGAGAGAAGATCTGAGTTGAGTATATCTACCGTTACAGAACTCTACTCTACAAAATAAAATATTCCCATCCTGTTTACTGCTAATTAACATGTTGAAAATATCTTAAAAGGTGGCTCTTTTAGACTGAAGAACTGTCTTATCTTAGTGGGAGTTTTGAGAACTTGTCGTCATGTTCATTTTTCCATGACGTGGTAGGAATGTTTTCCTCCTTGCCCAGGAATGACCCTGCCAGCAGCAGAACCCTTCTGTGCTGTCTGCTCATTCTGAAGTCCCATAGATAAGATTTGAAGGATACATGTCACTAAGCACTTAACATCTTTTGGTGGACAGGACAAATGACACAACGAACCTCATTTTCCTACTGTGTTGATTCTGCCTTTTTGTCTCAACCTGTGAACCTTTAAAACCTATGTTCAATTTTAGGCTACTTGGGTCCAAGTTAGGCATCATATTAGAATGCCAAAGATTTTTATGTCTTTCATATGATAAGAATTCTTGAACAACAGCCAAGGGGCTGGCCACAAAGACCTTAGATAATACAGTTTGCAACACAGAATTATTTAACATAGAATGTGTTATTGGTTTTTGTGTTACTCCATAGTTCCCTAAGGCTCTGTATATATTTTTAAAGTCTGTTTTATCTTTGTTTAGATTGGATAATTTCTATTATTTTATCTAAAAGTTCAGTAATCCTTTTCTCCATCTAATTCATTCTGCTGTGGAGCCCACCCATTGATTTTTATAGTTAAGCTATTATATATTTTTTTTATTTCGAAATTTTCCATTTGGTTTTTCTTTTAAGAATTTTAATCTCTTTGCTGAGACTTTCTATTTTTACATTTGTTTCAAGTGTGTTTGTAATTGTCGAAGCATTTTTATGAATGGTTACTGTAAAAATCCTTATCAGACCATTTCAATACCTGTGTCACTGTGTTTGCATCTGTTGATTGTCCTTTTTTCATTCAAAGAGATTTTCTTACTTCTTGAGATGCTAAATGATTTTTAATGGAAACCTGGATTTTCTAGATATTATGTGATGAGACTGTGGGTCTTAAAACATTCTGCTTTTGCTTACTTTCTCTGATACCACTTTGTCAAGGGAATTGGGGGGGCACTGCTGTGACTCTTCTGTACAACAGGGAGTCACCCGAAGCACACACAGAAGAACTACTCGAGACACAGAGATTTGAGTCAAGACAGAGAGGGAGAGGCCATACCAGGGATATGGCTGCTAAGCCTCTCAAATGCTCCGTATTCATCAGGGCAAAAGAGGAAGGAAAGTTTATTTTAGAGAAAGTTGCTTCTTCAAAGATTAGAAAGTTAAGGGCAAGTTTTGGAACAGGGTCATTTCAATATCGATTAGGGGGGTGTGACTAAATGACGCCAGAGGCTGGACAGCACACCTTGGAATTTGGAGAGCACATTCATCAGATCACACACCCATCGAATGACCTCCTGTCATTTTTGAGCAAGAAGGCAAGAGGTCAGGCATTGTCACCGTTTTCCCTGTCGTCATTCATTCAGAGTTCCTAAGTCCAAGGTGTTCTAGAAGCCTGACATTTCTGCTCTTCCCTTAACACATTGCCTCAGTACTGTCAGGTGCGGCCAGGAGTTCAGATTACCTACTCAGCCTCCATTGACACTTGGGATGAGAGCCATTCCTTGTCACTGCTGGGCAGTGGGCTCTCCATTAGGCATCCGTTGATTGATGTGACCCTATCTGGAATATGCAGGTCACCTTTTTACAGCTCCCTGAGGTCTCCACTGATGCTGTGGGGTAGGGGGACAGACAAGACTTAATCCTCACCAGGAAGGGATGAGAGTCCCAGTTTTCCTGTTTAGCCTTCATGAACACCAGTCTGGCAGGGGAGGTGGCAGAGCTCTCACACCTTGGACAGCTAGGCTCCCTGTTTGACTTTTGCTGGTATGGGTGAGCCGTGGTTCTTCCCATGTTTGATTGCAATAGAACAATCTTTGTTTTCTGTCTTGCTGTGCTACCCCTGTTTGGGTCCTTTGGTTAGAGAGAGAGCAGGGCCAATGCCTCGTGGCTTCCCAGCCTTTGGGCTTAGACTTGAAGGATGAATTAGAGCTCTCCATGTGAACAAGGTAAAGAAGGGTCATTTTCACATCCCTCGGGGCTTATGTTTTTGGCATTTTTCCATTTATAGCTACTTCTGATATTTTCTGTACGTGTCATCATGACCTTAGGATGTAAAACCACTTTGTTTTTTTAAAGGGAATGTCAGAATGCCATCTGCTCTGCTGACTCTAAAGGAAAGAGCACCCTGAGCTGCCTCTACTTAGCTTTCTTTTTTTTTTCCTATTGTATTTATCCAGCATTCTGCTTTTTTGTCTTGTTTTCTTTTCTTTTACTTCTCCCGAATGAGAAGCCTCCTTTTGCGATTTCATCCATTTAAAAGGTCTGACTGACCTCCCCTAATTTGCCTGATAAATCTAGTTGTCTATATATGAAATTGTCTTTATACCACTTTTGCTAATAAAGGCTATTCTCTGCTTTTTAAATGCCAAGTGAGACCTGTGTTTATCTAAGTTTTTCTGCATGCTCGGGTCAGTACTTCTTAAGTGAGGTAAGTAACTTCCATAGGAAAGTGCATGGCCAGTCCGTTTACTCGTGGAAAAACAAAGAATCACGTGGAATTTTGAAATATATCTGAGAATCAGAAAAGAAGATACGTCTTAGGAGGAAGAAAGTGAATGTTCATGTTCCAGCAGAGTAAATTTCCAGGATTGTTAGACCAGCAAATGGGTCCCCTTTCAGGAGAAAAAAACGGTTTTGGAGCAGATACTGCCCCTTCAGGAGAGCTTGTTATTCCCCTGTGATTTTTTTCTGTCCTTAGCTACAATAACTTGCCTTCCTGCTTGCAGGTCTCTGCTTACCTATCACAGGAACTGGCCTTTGAACTTTGAAACTGGATGTAGTGATCAAACACCGTGCTGCAGTCTAGCGTAGGAATTGGGTGCGCAAGTGCTTTCTTAAGCATTAAGTCCAATTTTACCATGGCTACAATCTAAAGACATGTTCCCTCGTGTTTGGCCAGCCTAACTCTTGTAAAAGAGAACAAAAATTTCTCCCTACCTTTAAGCCAATAAATGTGGATCTACAAATAAAACTTATACATAGGGAATCTTGGCTGCTTCCCGATATGGATGTGTGTGTGGGAAGTGGAGGCTGGGAATGGGGGTGGTGCTTCTCCAAGGATCTGATACGGAGTCCAAGGGTCCTTTACCACTAACCAGAGCTGTTTGCTGGAAGGAAAAAAGATCCAAAGTTCAGGTTCGTAGAGTAAACGTTTCCGATCATTGACCCATATCCTTGTTGTAGGTATCTTATTTACATTTAATCATACTTTCAGGAAAAAAAGTAATAGAAATATATGAAAGATCTTCAAAAAAAAGTTCCTAGAAAAATAAAATTAAGGTACAAGTTTATTTTGGTGCAAGAAATATTTTGAAAATCTGTCACAGTTTTTTTTTTCACAATATTCATTTTTCATGACTTGTTTGACAAGTTCTAGGATAAATACCTTTTTAGTATTGAGAGTAGTCTGAAACCAGACAGAAAACCTTCAACTTGTAACTTTTATATTTTCTTTCAATGTGAGATTTTTGTATTTTACCCTCTCTATTATAGGTAAATAGTGGTAGAAAAAACTGAAGATGTTTATTAGAAATAATGTCCATACTAAATAGATGCATGCAATATGTCTTAGTCTCCTAAAAATGGAGGAATCTCTGGGATAGGTATACCAAAATGAAGCAACATAAAAGAAACCACTGTCATCTCACCCAAATCCTGTTGTTTTAAATTTAACTTCATACTTGTCATGATTTTAGATTTAGGGATAGTTTCAGGATTTTCATAAAAATAACTAATACTTTCATTTATGATTTATTTCATTATATATCAGAAATTCAGAACTTGGAATTAGAATATACTTTGGCTTTCACATAGCAGAGCTATAAAACACTCTAATAAATATGCAGAAAATAATATTCTTATAATACCTCCTGATCATTTTACCATCCAGTGTTTAGATATTTTTCATCATCCATATACTTAGAGGCGTAAGTTATACACACATTGTACTAAATGTGGTATAAAGGGAATAGGGCAGTGAGTCTCAGAATAGAAAGTTTATAAGTTACTAAAAACTTGAAAGTATTTTAATTTTTTTAAAAGGTTTTTGCCATGGGGTGCATGCATGTGCTTGCTAGAGAGAGAAAGAGGGACAGAGACAGTGAGGGGGAAAGTGAGCAATCACCCCCTGGGGGATGGCCACACTGCAGTCCCTTCTCCATTCTCCTCCTGGGATCTTGGGCATGCACACACATGTACCAAGTGTGGTTTTCAAGCCAGCAGATCAGAGATTCATACCATGATCGGCTATGTGCAGTCTAGCGATGCAACCACTATATCATCTGCTGGCTCTGACACTTGCGACAATTTTAAACAAGAAAATGTTCTCAGTCCAATTAATGGATCTCATTGTTCAATTTTCACTTTTTTTTTTTTTTAATTACAAAAAGGCGTGTGCACT